GACGATAGGAGGTTCCAAATAGATTTTTCTACAGTAAAAGACCAGGAGAATAGTCCGATTGCGAAGATATCCGGGCCCTGAGGTTGGCGCCCGTGGGAGATTTTTCCCGCGAACAATGTTTTTTTACGATTTTTATGTATTTTTCTTTTTTTTTTCAGTTCATTCTTTGGATTCCCCGTCAAAAGACGATATGCAGAAGCAAGGAGCGAGTGTAAAATCAGCGGGCAGTAGCGATCCATCAAATCCGATCCGGAAAAAAGTGGAGGCGTTGGTCTCGCAAAAGCTACACACCGATCAGGTAGATCAAGCCAGTTTCGCAGATTTGAGGATGCAAATGAGGTTTCCTGAATTTTCAAAAAATTTATTTTATCAGCAACTGTTAAAACTCGGCTCGGCTGGATTAGGGTACAGCTCAGGGATGAAACACAGAAAGGTCACCAAGTCACCTGTACATACAGGTTTGCTTATTTGGGAGATCTAAATGGCATTACCACTTCCAGTGTTTTGCTTCGGGAACCGGGCAGTACTGAGCAAATTCATCTTCCCTGATGATTCAGAAATTAAACGCCTAGTGAGCCGCCGTTTATTCTCATAAAAAACCTCTTCCTAATAATTATATATATAATGATTGTCCGTATCACTTTTTAACTTCCCTTTCACATTTAGCTCCCCTACATGTCCTCCTTACATCTTCTTAAGTTTTTATAATAAACATATGCGTTTCATTATCTATTTCATATCCTCATTTCGTAGTCTTACCACCATTCATTCATTCCCTTCTTTCCTTCCTCACTCACTCTTTTGCTCATTCACTTATAACTCTCTTTCTCTTCACCATCTTGCAAATTAGTTACATGACTATTCAAAACATGGCCGGTTGGAGGCTGTACTGATGATTCCCGCTCCTACTCGCATGCATAGTCCAGTCTGTGTATACAGCTAAGGGATGAAACACAGACTTACAAGACGTTCGGCACATGACACTTAAGGCCAATCTTTCCATTCTACTGCTTCATTGATTATCAAAATTCGATTGTGTTCCTCTCCACGGCTGGTGGGCCAGTAACGCCAAACAAACTGCATATGTTAACAAATGGAAGATTTCAGGCCCCCGTCCCCTTTCAGCCTTCTAGTCGGGGAGAAGGCGAGGGCTTCATTGTTTGTATCTTTAAAATTTCTGAAACACTTAGAAGGCGAGTTGCAATGATTGCAGGAGGAGAGAGGAAAGTGCGGAGAGGGGGAAATTAAAACCCTAGAAACTTACCTAAACGAAAACCCGATGCCACGATTTCCACAATCCGATCGGGACCCAAAAATGCGGGAACCCAAAAAATATGGCCGAATCGGGCCGCATTTTAATAGTTGAAAATTTTATTTATATTTTATTGTTGTCTGTGATAATGTTTTTCGAAAAACATACGCTTTTCCCTGAAGGATTTCCTGAAAATGATGGATTATGTGGCGCCAGTTGTTGGAGAAATTGATATCCACGTAGAGCGAAGATTGGCACATGAATTGGAAGAGCGAAAAATCAAAGCAAATCGCGAATATCTGGAAGCTTTTGGAAAGGTTTGTCAGTGATTTCAAGCGTAGGCACGATTTTATCGAATCCTAAAACAAAGGGTTAGCAAAATAAGCAGAGTCGTTGGGCCTTTACTTTTTGTGCCTGGGCTTCATGCGCCTTCTAAATTTTTTTTTTTTTTTTTTTTCTACATAACCATCGTACTGATGAAGTCCGATTGCTGTGAGCTAATGGATCGAAGCGTCTTATCTCATTCTTTTCTCAACCTCTTAACTGCTTTCA